GTATTAATTAATTTACAAAAAATTTACTGGTTTGTACAGTTATTTATTTCGATAAAAATTAATTAGTGAAATATAAAAAAAACAGTATATATCTTAATGTATAGTTTTAAATAATACAAGTATTTTATTTTATTTTTAATGACAAAAATATCTATTTTGTTTATTTTATTTTTAACAATCAAAATATTTGTTTTATTTATTTTATATTTAACAATAAAAATATCTGTTTTGTTTATTTTATTTTCAATGACAAAAATATCTATTTTATTTTTAACAAAATAATTGATAATTCTTAGGGGAATTTAAATGTCATCCATATACGCCAAAAGGATTAATAAAAGATATCGTAGCTTAAATGTAAGATGCATCGTTTTGACAGGTATATCTGATATTAATTATATGTTTCCAAGAATGTGGAGGATACGTTGAGAATTTCATCTGGCGCTTGTTTACGATGAATCACAGAGCGAGTGCAACCGAGTAATTGGAAATGGAATTAACGCATGAGTGTTCAATTTGTAACAAGAAAACTCGAACTACATAGAATCATGACTGAGAATTTATAGTGAATAGACGTTTTATTTGTTAACCATTTCATCGTTGGTAATTAGAATTTTTTCTCGGGAACAGGTTTAATAGCTTTGGGTTCAATGCCCCTTGGTGAACATAACCGAAGAGATTTTTTGGGATTTCAAGATTTTTTAATGTGGAGGTTTGAAGTTTTCTAGTTTGGGAAATTGGAAATTGGGAATTTTTTAATTTGGGAAATTGGAATTTTCGAATTTTGGAAATTGAAAATTTAGAATTTTAGAATTTGGGAAATTGGAGGTTTAGAATTTTAAAATTTAGGAAATTAGAAATTTGGAATTTTTGAATTTGGAAAATTAGAAATTTGGGAATTTAGAAATTCGGAATTTTCAAATTTGTGAATTTCGAAAATATCAAATTTGGCAACTTGAGGTCGCAAAAATTTAGAAATTCAAAATTTTCAAATTCCCAATTTAAAATTTAGAAATTTTACACTTCCAAATTTGGAACGTTGTAACCTTAGAAAGTTGAAAACTGAAAAATTAAAAAATTTGAAACCTTGTGAATTTAAATTTCAAATTAGGAATTTGGGAATCTAGAAGTGTACAAATTTGGAATTATAGAAAAACGTAAAATTTATTATATTCGAGTGGTAATGGCTGTATCTAATAAACATAAGAACCTATAAATTCTCAGTTTAACATAGTTTACCACAAGGTTATCATGATTCCCGTATTTTTATCTGACTATTCTATTTAAACGAACTCTGTCTGCCTGACTGTCTGCATGTATTTTTAAAAGGCAAGCGTTACTTTTAAATGATCATTCTATTTCATTGTTTTTTGTTTTATTATTGGACTGTTTTATAGTTTTGCCATTTTTTTCGTTATTTTCCTATTTGGCAATTTTCCAACTTTAGTTATACTATTTCATTATTTCATGATTTTATTATTTTATTATTTACTGCTTTTCAATTTTACTACTTTGTTATTTTATTATTTACTATTTCGCAATTTTACTACTTTGTTATTTTATCATTTTACTATTTCACCATTATTTATGATTTTACTATTTTCTAATTTTTTGTTATTTCTCTTAAAAATATTTTAAAGTGACATTTCTTAATTTTTTCTTTCACATGTGATTTTAAAATAGAAAATTAGTGTTCATTGCCATTTTATTATTATTTAAATTCAATAGACGGTTGAATATAACTTAATACAATAATGTTAGGTTATGTTGTCATTTGAGTTTATTAGTTTCGGTTAGGTTATATTGCCATTTGAGTTTCTTAGGTTAGGTTAGGTTAGTTTATGTTGCTATTTGAAATTCTTAGTTTAGATTAGGTTATGTTGACATTTAAGTTTATTAGTTTAGGTTAAGTTATGTTAGGTTACGTTTTATCATTTAAATATATTTGTACTTAAATTTCTGATATGATCTAACCTAATTGCAAATGACGTTATTATATTTACAAACTAATATTTTTCAACAATTATTTACTTTAACTATAATACCAATATATTGAATTATCTATAACATTTCAATATTATTGATAATAAATACTCTGATGAAAATTATATTCATATGGTTTAAACATTTATATGAAAAATTTGTTAAATTTGAAATTTATTAAAAAAATTTCGAATTACATTTTTTTTATTATCTCAAATGATTTTTAAAAATTCTGAAACTTCAAATTTTGCAATATTCTCAAGTTTTTAAATTGCGAAATTTTTACTATTGAATTCTACCATCAATTTCAAAGTCAAATTTCTAAATCCATCGCCCTTTTATATTAAATATTGCAGTCAAGAAATTGTGAAATTACAACAAAAAAATTGTATACGAATTGCGTTAATTTCTTTTTGCAAAATAGTATTATGATTTCGCACAGTACGTCTATAATTCCGCAAACATCAACTCGATTTCAAAGATGGCGCGTTTCCTTGTTAGTTCTGACGACTTACTAATATTTTGCGTGCACAGTTTACTCGTCAAATAAATTCCCCAATCACGAGTAGTCAACGCAACGTATATCTTGACAAACTGTTTTGCGTTCGCTATATTGATTTTGTCGTTTGGTTTAAAAGTATTTCCTTGTTGAAGTGTGACAAAAAACTGTGCAAAGTGATATGTCGTTACCGAAGGCCGTCTATTTTTACTAAGCAACGCGTACGTATTTTCATAGTATTAAACTGTATTCGTTTTGCTGATTCTATGATAATAAACAGACGTTACGACATGCTATGCAACAGCAAACGTTTATTATGATGTTTTGCAGTGAAGCAACTAGATGTAACATTGCGAAGGAAGTCTTGTGATGTATAATTGGGCGAATGATTTATACTGGGGATGTCATAGGAATTAAATTAGTGATGGGCAAAATGGGTGCTCACTAAATGGACACTAGTGTGTATAAGGAAAAGAGAGAGAAGTTTTTTATATAATTTGGAAATTTATATATTAATTTATAAAATTTGTAATTTATTCTAATTTATATATTAAGAAATTTATTTAAAGATTCAAGTTTAAAAATTTATGTATATGGATTTTTGAAAAGTCTGAAATTAACAAATTTTTTATTTTGTAGTTTAGGGAGAGAAATAGATATAGTTCATATTTAAAATTACCCAATTTTCCAACTTCCAAATTTTAGAATTCAGAAATTTTTAATTTACAGATTTACAAATTTACAAGTTTACAAGTTTACAATTTTACAAGTTTACAAGTTTACAAGTTTACAATTTTACAAGTTTATAAGTTTACAAGTTTACAAGTTTACAATTTTACAAGTTTACAATTTTACAAGTTTACAATTTTACAAGTTATACTTTTACAAGTTTACAATTTTACAAGTTTACAATTTTGCAAGTTTACAATTTTACAAGTTTACAATTTTACAAGTTTACAATTTTACAAGTTTACAATTTTACAAGTTTACAATTTTACAAGTTTACAATTTTACAAGTTTACAATTTTACAAGTTTACAATTTTGCAAGTTTACAATTTTGCAAGTTTACAATTTTGCAAGTTTACAAGTTTACAATTTTACAATTTTAAGAATTGAAAAACAAAAAATATTGATCTCTTAAGTTATCAAATTTAGAAATAAAAAAATTTCCAATTCATTGATTTACAAATTTATAAGTTTGCAAGTTTACACTTTTTTAACTTAGAAATTCAGAAAATCTGAAAATTGGAAAAATACGAATATAACATTTTAAAATTTTTCAATTTACAAATTTGCATAATAAGCAATTTTAACATTCAGACATTTCAAATTAAAAATATTTTCAATCAACAAAAACATCAAATTGAAATATTGTCTAATTTCAAAGCTAATTTTGAAATTTTGAAATCTTCCAATTTTCAGTAATAATGATTTCAAATTTATAAATGGAAAAATAAGAGATTGTATAATTTTCAATTTTAGTTACTGATTAAATCTGTATCAGTCTTCCAGAATAATTTAATCGTCATTTTTTTGTAATTATGCATTATTTATGTCTTATCAATCTAGATAAGCAAGTAGATTATTTAAGCTATCCCTTGCAGGTTTGAATGGGTGTCTGCATACCACAGTACCTTCCTATCTTTAATTACATTCCTTTACTCACACTTCACTACCATTTCCGGTCTCTTAGCTTCGTCATACCACGGTACTATAGTATTTAGTACAATACAAAACACTATAGGTTCTTATCAGCCTTACAGTTCTTTCACCCCTTCATTCATTCCGTGCAATTACGCTGATTAAATACTACTACGTATATTTATACTTACATAAAATGTCGGTACTGAAGCAATAAAATAAAACATTTCATTATTTCAGGCTTGTTAATTCAACAAAATTTTTTATTTTAGTAATTTGAAGATTTCAGTTTCAAAAATCCCAATTTTTAATTTTTTAGCTTTGTAAAATTTTTATTTTGCAAACTTTTTAGCCTGCAAAATTTTTATTTTGTACATTTTTTTAGCCTGCAAGATTTATATTTTGCACATTTTTCAGCCTGCAAAATTTTTATTTTGCAAATTTACAACTTGCCAAATTTAGAAAGTTTCAAACTTAGAAGTTTACAAATTTGGAAAATTAGGAATTTAGATACACAGAAATTTCAGGTTTGGAAATTCAGAAACTGGAATTTAAAATTTTTTAATTAAAAAAAATTCAGGCTTGAAATTGGAAAATACAGAAATTTTCAGTGTTCAAATTTTATAATTTTATAAATGTTCCAATTTTGAAATTTAAAAATTTTAGATTTTTGGTTACGAAATTGCAACTCAAAATACCGTGTTATATGGCTAGGACCAATTCTCAGATTATGCTATAGCTAAATAGTATAACAGAAATATTATAAGACGTTAGCTTCATGAAACCGTGTTGTATGAGGGTACCTAATTCTCTAACATTATAGTGAAACTGAGAATTAGCGTCATATCAATAATAAAAAATATGTAAACGTTTCAGGCGAAATGCCGGTGCCAGTTTGGGACTGCCCTGACCTGGGGCTGTTGGACGAGCCCCTGGACACCGCAACGGTGGTGTCCGACGACATATGGAAGAAGTTCGACTTCGACTTCCCGGTGGACCGAGTGGACGCCTACTCGGACTTCTATCACGAGCGAACGTTCGATGACGGTGTTCTGCCGGACCTGTTGTACAACAAAATGACCTGTCTGGCGTCCCGCGAGATTCGTCATCACGATTGCATGTGGGCGGGTCTGTGCATTAGCAAAGAACACAATAGGACGTTACCGGCGAGAAAGGACTCGCAGATACAGAAGAAAGTGCCGGCAGGACGGAGTCTGTTGATATCGCGAGCGAATAACGCTCAAACGGGGAGTTCCATGCCAACTGGCCAACAACAAGCCCAGCAACCGTGCCGCGCGAAAAATCTGGAGAGCGACGGCGACTCCACGAGGCCGGAAACACCACAAACTTCGAGTTCCGACACGGAGGCCGAAGAAGAGGGACCGTTTTTCAGACACGACCAAATCAACATACACGAGAGCATGTCAGAGGTAGTCACGAAGGCTGTGCCCGTTAGCGAGGTCACCGGTCAACTGGTCAGATTCCATGACAGGAGAAAAGAAGACGAGAGTCAGTGTCAAGTGCACAGGGAAACCAATATCAGAAACACTCTCAGCGACCATTGCTACCACCTCAATCAACCGGCCTCGAAAAACCTCGAGCATCTTGGCGTGCAGACACCCTCTGATTCTGGTGAGTTCATTTTTTACTTACGTGCCTTACGAGAACAGCACAGGGACTCTGTATCTCTTCATACTCATGGGATGCCTTGACAAAGTAATGACGCGTTTCAAAAATAAAGTAAAATTTATAATAAACTAAAATAGAATAAAATAAAACCGCGATTTAAACTTTTGGGTCTATGCTTTCACTTATATCGTGTAGTTGTGATGCCTTCAGAAGTAATGACACGTTTCAAAAATAAAATAAAATTCATAGTTATTAATAAAATTTATAATAAACTAAAGTAAAATAAAATAAAACCTCGATTTAAACTTTTGGGTCTGGACTTTCGCTTATATCGTATAGTTCCTTCGTTGATTGAACGTGGAAAAGTGAGTGAATATCCGAACTGAACGTAAACAGTGACATATCAGTACAATCCTAATACAAGTATAAAACTTTTATTTTGTTATGAAACTTCTATAAATATATTAACATGTTAATACTATAATATTAAACAGATTAAAATGAGGTTAAACAATTTAAAACATATTGACTTGTAATTTCAAACGTTTTGTATCGCTTTCCTGTAAAATTCGGTTTACGTCGGGTGATTCGGTACACGTCGGGTTACTTCGTTTCTCTTCGGTACTAATCGGGTGAAGCATCACTGTATGAAGGGATGGGGGCGTGTCCCTATTCTGACCAATTACAGTCGCACTTCTTGTGAGGCACTCGCACTATTAATTTGTTTAGTTACAAATTAAGTTATTAAAAACGTTTTAATCTTGCATGTTGAAATTGTAGATAGTTCCTTGATTTGTTAGGATTCTTTTATAATAATTTATTTATTTATGTTTTGGCATTTGTGATTTTTTTCGCAGTGATAAAAGATAAGAGAAAAATTATTGTTTTTATATAAAGACAAATTTTTAAGAAACTTGTACATTAATTTCTATGAGTTTTATGCGTTAAAATAAGTGTCGTTGTAATAATATTCAGTAATGAACAATTGTACATTAATTATAATTTTGTACATAAAGGACCGATATTCAACAGGGTCGTGTCCATAGCTTTTCGGGCCCCAAATATATAAAAATTGTCCCTCTAAAAACAATATATATTAAAAAAAGAAAATTTTTGACATCGTGTTAAATTATATTACAGTACAGAATTGCAAAAAGATTTAAAACAAAAGCACTTACTATTAAATTATTTTTAATAAATAAAAGTAAACTGCTTTTTTCATAAATTGTATTTATAAATTTATGAATCCTTACAATAAATAGTTTCTATAATAAATTAGCGATAAATAGCGGTATACGAGCCACGTGTCGCTTTCGCGAAGTGGTAAACGCGACCCTGACGTTGAAATTAAAAACGTGGGAAAGAGAAGCACATCCCATGTAACTAGATACCTATTTTACGTTAGAGTATTTTTTTCTGTCTATGTATTACTAGAAAAATAAAGAGGAAATGATAAGCATCAAACTTTTACAGCCCCTTCAGGTAGCAAGTTTTATTCGAAATTTAGGCAGCAGTTTATAGGCATTCCTCGTTTTCAAGATAAGTAGTAGGATAATAAGAGAAACACGAATAATTTAGGGAATACATCAATATTTAATTGCTTGAGTGTGCAAGTTGATTATACTGAACTGAATTAAAAGATTTCGTTAACTTTCGAATGTCGAAGGTAGGCATTGGCGTAGGATTGTTATGTAGGATGTGATCGATTAACTTCTTTGAAATGGTATGGTAGGAACGGTTTTATGAAGTAGTCTCTTTAGGGATAATTACGATGTAAAGGAAGTATAAATTAGGCAATATTGCTAATTTAAACATTGTCTTCAGTAACAAGTTTTTTAGTTTTTATATTTTTAATTTTGTACAATTTCCAAATTCTTGGATTTAACAAATTTTTTTAATTCTTGGAATACTGAATTCTCTAATTTTCAAATTTTTAAGTTCATGCATTTGTGCATTTATAGGTCGCAAAATTAACAAATTAGATTCAAAAATTTTCAAAATTCCAAGTTTCAAAAACTCCAAATTGCCAAAAATCCTAAATTTCTGAAATTTTCTAATTTCCAAATTTTTAAATTCTATAATTTTGACATTTACATTTAGTTATTTCAGTACTTAGTAAAGTAAACAAGTTTATTTAACAATATTTGGTAAAACAAAATACTTTAATCAATTACATTCTGTAAAACAAAAAAATTTACATAAATTTTTCATACATTAAAAAATTTCCAAAATGAGTACAAATTTTAATGAAGCACATTAAATTGAAATCACATTTATTGCAACAAGGAGGGGTTAAATATTTTCCTAACACGCCATTTATTTATTAGTAACAGTAAAGGTATGCATTTCCGTACAAAATGTAAGAACATGTTGCTGAAGTCAGATAAGTTTTATCCTGTACGTCTCTTAAAGGATTAATGAGTTTATTCATGTCGTTCTTTTGTACCCTCTCAACAAAGGCAGCAAGGTCGAACTAAGGATCTTGTTAATCGAGTGCAATTGACGGCAGAGCATTTCGAAAGTGCACTTCGCCGAATTTAGGTACCCGTATGAGTATGCTAATCATGTTCTCTGTTATTCGTCATTGGTGAGGCACGAATGAATACGAAATTAGTATAGGATCAATGGTGTTTTCGTTGGAGGAAAAGAATCGTTTAGAAGGTTCTAGGGTTGTATCACATCGACTTAGCGTTTCTTTAAATAAGGTGAAGTAGGGTAAGTGCAGACTGGTTTTTGTAGAGTTGGTATTTAAACGTAAGTATTTTCAGTCTGCTATGTAAATACTTAACGCTGTCAATATCGAACACTTTGCACACTTACTACTATTTAATTAATATTAACTAGGACCTTAATTTTCCTTGTAAATTTTGATTTTGATAGGAAATTGTTTAAAATGTCAACTACTCTGCACTTTCCCCGAAAATGGGGTAAGAGCGTAACTTGAAGTTAAATACTTTGAAACTTTATTTCATGTTTGATGAGACAAGAGCAGAATTATTAACAAATCCGCTATAAAATTCTTTTTACTGCATTATGCAAGTACTCTACACTGCAAAGAAGTACTCTTAGGTGAAATATAAAAGGGGATATAGTGAAACAAAACAAGGAAACAAACATACTAAATGGAGAAATTTCGCTCATATTGTAATAAAAATAGCCTGTATACGCACTTGCCCCGTTTACGAACTTACCCCACTTCACCTTACATGAGAAAATATAAATTATCCAATTAGGGTGGATAGTTTTAATAAATACGATGTACAGATATAAAATAATTAGATGAAAAAAGAAAATAGCTGGAAAATTGTACGTGAGTTTCAATGTTGGGAACATGGAAAAATTATTTGTTGAAAAGGTGATGTAAATATTTTATTGGAAGATAAGAAATATGTAATTTTATTTGAATATATGTATTTATTATGTGAATACATTACTGATTAAGTTTTCTTTACGTAAAAAAACAAATTTTCTGTGTCCTTGGGGTTGTAATCTTAGACCACTACAGAAAAGGTGGTTATTATTTTGAAATTGCAAATTTGAAATTGTTGAAAACGGAAATCTTAAAAATTCGAAATTTCTTGATGTTGAATTTTTTAAATTTCTCAAAGATGTTTCAAAGGATTCAAAGTTCACAAAATTGTCAAATTTCTCAAATTTCTCTAATTTCTCAAATTTTACAAAATTCTCAAATTTCTCAAATTTTACAAAATTCTCAAGTTTCTCAAATTTTTCAAATGTTACAAAATTCTAAAAATTCCCAAATTTCTGAAATTTTTTGAAGTTCTAAAAATTCTCACATTTCTCAAATTTTGTAAAATTCTCAAAATTCTCAAATTTCTGAAATTTTTCAAATTTCTAAAAATTATTAAATCTCTCACATCTCTAAAACTTCAATCTTCTCAATTCTCCAAAGTACTCAGATTTCTAAATTTTTTAATACCTCAACTAAATTCCCCAAATTTTAGAATTTGAAAATCGACCTAATAACGAATTTTTTCTTCCCGTATATTGCAATTTTTCTCTACAGAATCCTATGCTTATCCTACAGAGCTCATATTAAAAAATTGCTCCCTAACAATCATTAACACTCAGGTAAATTGCACGTCCACTATCAAATAAAAAGCTAATAAAACAGTAATATCTATAGCAGCACATTTTTACGATAATCTAAAACAAATAATAATTATTGATTTTTCGAATAAAATGTAACTATATGTAAGCAGTTAAATTAGATAAGATAAAGATATTGTGAATTAATTACTTATTAATTATGTACGTGTACTTACGTAACATATTACGGATGACAATGTGATAAATTGTAGTAAACAATTCCTGATCAATTGTCGAGTACCGATAACGTACGGTATCTGTTGTCTTGTTTGCTCTCATTCTTTCTCGCTTTATCTTCAAGTAATCTTTTAATGATTACATCATCTCAAATTCTCGACCAGTGTTTTATATTCTGTATCGATTCGAGAACATATGTACATATAGTCTGATGGTATCGTGACATACATAGTATAAATTGTTCGAGTGAGAAAATGTATTACACAATTAAAATAATTTAATTATAATTCGGATGAGAAGGCTATGATATTTGAAACACTTGTATGTGTATTAGAAATGCGTTAGGTAGTGTTTATCTTGCTGATAAATTTTATTTATTCATTTGATTTTGAAAGTGTACAAATGTGAAGTTGTAAATTTGCGTACTTGCAAAATCAAAAATTTCAAACTTTCAAAATACTAAATTTCCAAAATTTCTAAAAATTCAAAAATTTCCAAAATTCCAAATTTCTCAAAATTTCGAAATTCCCCAAATTTCTTCAAATTTCTAAAAATCCCAAATTTCCATATATCCAAAATTCTCCAAATTTCCAAAATTCTCAAAATTCCAAATCTGCAAACTTCCAAAATTTCCAAAATCCCCAAATTTCCAAATCGCAAAAATTCCAAAATTTCAAATCTGCAAACTTTCAAAATTCCAAAATTTCAAATCTGCA